ACATAACATAAAAAGTCCATTGAAAAAAAATCCAAAAAATCTATCCATTTATTTATTGCTGATCATTGCACTGTCGTATTATGAACACCCTAGACTCCCAAGTGACACCTCCGTTTTAATCAATTCTGTGTTCTGTGCAAACAGCTGATATTTATTACTATTTGTTTAAAACAATTTGGTTGTATGATATGGAGTTGTAGGGACAAGTTTCATCTTAGATGGAAGAAATCTTTTATTAGGCTATCGAATATCAGTCGACACTCGGCAGTCATATGAGTAATATATATATTTTCTACGATTTGTGAGAAGTTTTAATCCGGCATCTCGATAACCAACTAAACTGCAAATTAAATACAATATTAAAAAAAATAGTATATAGTATTAGTAATACAACATTAAAAAAAAAAATCGATAAGATTTAAAAATGATAAAAGTGAAAAATATATCGTCTTGCGATATTTTAGTTATATTCAATAACAATAATAAAATAATCGTTAATGTCATTCGATTATCAAAAGATATCTCAAAAATAATATGCAGAAATAATATTAGGTACCACTACTAACTACTAAGTAGTAAGTACTTAATAAAAACCATTATGTTTTAGCAGGAAACTAATATTATTGTATAGATGTTTCCGAAACCAACAATGATCGAATTGCGGTTTTGGATGCACCAACGTTGGTGATTTAGCTGCTCTATTAATTATTATAGAAATCACCAAGTCGGATAATAAGACTGTCACCTAGCATTGCAGAGATTAGAGAAATTTACTTTACCCACACGTCATGTTTATAATTATACGACTGAGAAATATAGACTTATATAATATATATATGTACCATAAATGCCTTTTGATATACAAATCGTATAATTGAGATTTAGAGCAAACATCGGGAGCTATAATATTGGTCTTATAGAGGTTCGTTATTTTTTTTATTGTATATTTCACAAGAGTCAAAGCGAAATGTTGAGTTATTAGTTATTACAGAACTAAAATAAAACAGCAAAACCACAGTAAATATAAACTTTTGCAAGCACATAATTTTAATCAAACTATCGATGGACCATTCTGATGAGAAGTTTTTTGAATGAATGTTTATCAAATCGCTATAAAATAACCCGCTTACTGACAGAAGTCGTCACTACCCAACTTAACTACTTGGTAGCAAGTACCACAATGATTTAATTTATAACTTACAATATATCTAACAGCAGTCATTTTTCGTAGAAAACTGTAGAAGTATTTTTTTTTTCATCTCGTAATCTTTTTTACATTTTCTTGGAAAAAAAAACGTATTAAATTGTGTAATTTAATTCAAATTGCATGTACGAGAAAAGTTACAATTACCTACTTTATCACGAACTACCCACGAAGCACGACCTATTATTAAAATGGAAATATTGTTTGAGCCGTAGTAGGTATATAGTAACATGGGTATGGGTACACCGTTTATGCATTTCATCCAAAGAGTCACAAATATTATAATGTCGTATAAGCATACATCATACAAACTGCAGTTTAATAATAATAATAAAAAAAAAAGCATGAAATAAAAAATAACGGTTAACGAGTTTTGCAGAACGTCTACGGCACAAGCTAAGTTGTTAAACAATGCGTAGTTTCGCTTACCCGGTAATCATTTCACATTGTACCTACGTAATTTGTGGTACAGAAACGGCTCGTGGGATTTGATTGATCGTGCATGACGAATTAAATAATATATTATCATGCACTAGGTACTCGGCCACTCGGATGGAGTATAATTTACAAGTTGGTTATATTACCTACCTTATATCACCCACTACCTACGAAGCACGACTTATTATTGAAATTGAAAATATTGTTTGAGCAGTATACCTGTACTTAGTTACATGGATACCTACTATTTATGCATTTCATTCAGAGAGTCACACAAATTATAATATTGCATAAGCATTTATAAGCATAGGTACACACGAACTGCAGTTGAATAATAATAATGAAAAAATATATTATCATGTACAAACTCGGTCACTCAGATGGAGTAATTCGAGAATGACAAAACGCCAATTATTTAACAGTGAAACGTGGTCAAAACTTACGACCGGACCTACAGACTGTTTCTCAGTGTTCCGAGAATCGTTTTCGGAATACGAAATCATCGGAATAACGTCATAATCGCATTTTCGGATCAAATGAAAAGTACGATTTATATTATAATATTATTACATATAGTATACGATAAAATATTGGTCGCAATGCGGTCGAAAATTATTCACGATCTCCGTATTATTTTATTATTTATTGCAATTATATTTGTAATCTATGACATTTCCGATATTCTATTTTATAATATTATGATTTCTGTGAACACTTCGCCATAACATATTATTAACATATCTGTTTGTAATATTATATTTTTCTATTGATAGTTAATGTTATATGCTATATTACGAATAGCAATAATACCATATTATAACATAATATTACAATAACTATGTTTTATTTGTTATTACAGTTTTATGGCAAATCGACACTTTCAAGTTGTCAAGTATAACTTGTGAAAGAGATATAGAACACAAAGCAACATCTAAAATTATTAACAACTACCCGTGTATAATACAATAATTATATTTAATATTTATTAATCCATATAGGTGATGTATAAAAATGAATGTATGTACGTATGGTTGCTTAGTGTCTTGGAAACTACTGAATCCATTGGCACCAAACTTTTCACATATATTCTTTGGGACTCGAGAAGTATTTTAAGCTTCGTACTTCCAACCTCTATTTAGGTTGGACATTGAAATAAGAGGCGAGTGAGGCGACGACTAGTCAAAAATTAAGAAATAAGTCATTTTTAATTAATAGACTTTTTCGAAAGTCTATTACAAATATATCAATAGGAATGTCCAAAGTTTGATTAGAGTGTTCAATGAGCAACCATAGTGTGAGGCTTATAAAATAAAATTGTGTTGGTATCGCCCGTATTATTATTATTGTTTACAGATCGGTGAGCCGGCGGAGCATATAGGCAATCTGGGTACATCGACGTGTAGATGGCTTTCGAAGTTTCAATAATAATATCCCAATTTCCAAGTTATTTTTGATGAACGAATTAAAATGAAATTTTGGAAATATTTCGTGGGAATTCAATTGACGTGCCAACTATTCGAGTTGAGGTGACTTATTTTTAATTGTGAACGACGGTACATTTTCAAATTTTAAACAAGGCGACTACAGTCTAATATATAATATAATTATACAGTTCATAGTTCTCATAACTATAATACAGTAATGTGTTATAGTTTCAAGTATTTGGTATATGAGATGCAACACTAGAAATTTAATTTCTAAGTTGAATGAATTGTGATAAAAATTGGGAACTTCATTTTTATGAATGATTACTATTTTGAGGAGGAGCTAGGGAGTGATACATGTTTCAGATCATTAATACACTTTCACCAGAGCCGCTGCTATGATATCAAAACTAATAAAGCTATTTTATAACAAAATAATAAAAAAAAATACTAGTTTATTGCATGTATATGGCGTTTGCTATTATTTTAGTGAGTAGTGAATATAATCGAGCACCGATAAATACACTTTGTTATTATAATGCTCATTCGGTAATCGTCTTACACTAGCAGGTTATATAGTACAGGACATGGGTATATCATTAAAGTAGTATACATATTGTACACTCTGATAGGTGCTCGGTAAGGAATGAACCGCGACGTGTCTTGCTCAGGTCAGTGACGTCAAATACCAGATTTCCTCCGCTATAGAAGAACGTCAGGACCACGTGGCGAGGCGGAAATAATAACATTATATACCTAGGTAATTAGCAATTAGCATTGATTATACATATATATATATTATATACTATATTTTACAGCGTACTCGGTGGTAGTATTATATTAGTATTGCATTGTCCTGCGAGACGCGTGTGGGACGCAGACAAAATCACAGCGCCGTCGCATTTTTAATTACACTCGTTCAAACGACTCAGACTGTGATATTTTCTCAGACGGTAAAGGCGAATTATGCACGAGCGTGACGCCGACATCAAAGATAAACTAGAACACGCGATTGTAATAATAATAATAATAGTAATAATAATTACGAATAAATGTATAACAATAATATTATAGCGTTGTGTTTCAAATGGACGCTTCTATGGTTTCACATAGACGACCGCCGGTATTATTATACCAACACGAATAATTGTCCCTTTGTTCGCAATCTTTACAATATTAATACAATATTATTATTTTACTTCTCGCCATCATCTGCAGTATAGGTACCTATATACAGCACACTCCCCTCTGGGTTGGTTACTGGATTTCTGGACTGTTGTGTTCTACAACTGGATAGATCGATGTCGTGAATCCATTTCGTTTACGAATACACCGAAATGACGCAGTTATAATATAATTCTGCCGGAAGAAGAGAGGTCTCGGGTCTTGAACCCCCCACCATCCGACCTGCAGGGCCGTATTAGGGCATAGGCACTATAGGCACTGTGCCTAGGGCCTACGAAAATGAAATGAGTGGCTACGATTTTTCTGTAATATTTTTTTTTTTATTTTAAGTTAATTAACTATCTGTAGATGTTAGCACAAAAAATAAAACATTTTGTATAATAATATTTCTCGTATATTTACACTCAATGTTCGTTATCGTAATTCGTAATAATTACTTATTGAAATCAGATTGGATAAACCATAAACCAATAAAATGTATACCGTATACGGAGAAACGACATGATGAATAAAACCACGATTACTGTTTAGAGTATTTTAGGAAATAATTGATAAATTGATAGTTGAAATGGAAAAAGAAAAAAGCTTATTTAAAATTAGACGAAAGATTTAATTTTTTAACTGACGAAAGTTTAAAAGATGAAGAAATAAAAATAAAGGCAAATAATTTAGTTGAAGCCTATAAAACCGATTTGGAATCTTCATTTGTTAATGAGTTTTTGATTTTTAAGAGCTTTCGAGAAACTTAAATGTCTGTGAATGAAATGCTAATTAAACAAATAAATACCAAAATGGTAACCAGTTTTCCAAATGTAAACATTGCTTTTAGAATATATTTATCAATTTTTGGGACTTCGTGCGAAGGTGAAAGGTCATTTTCAATTCAAAAGAGAGTTAAGAACTGGCAGCGGTCAACTATTGGGCAAGATAAATTATCATCATTATCGGTACTTGCAATTGAACACGAATTTCACCAAGAAATCGATACTGAAAAAGTTATAGAATCATTTGCAAACAAAAAATATCGTAAAAAAGTTTTGTAACTATAAATTTATATTAAGAAATATTCTACATAATATTGTTATTTTTAATTTGTTACAATTATCTTTTGTTTTATACTTAAATACGAGGAAGAAAATGCAAAATGGTATAAAATAAGTTGTTTTTATGGTTTCTGGAAATTTAATTTTAAAAAATATATTTTGAGTGAAATAAAATATATTTTTAGATGTGTTAAACTTGTTATTAGATAAAGTTATAATTATAAAAGTTAATATTTGATTTTCATTTTGTAAATATTTTTTTTTTAACTCTACTTCTCCCAAACATTATATATCTTAATGTAGGTATAATCAAATTGTTTACAAGAGAAAAAAATAGTATTCAAAAGTGCCTATGTTATAGAATTCAATTTTTTCAGTGCTTAGGGCCTACGGATGACTTAATCCGGCCCTGCTGACCTGTATTTGAATATCGCCGTATTTAAATGTACGTTTTATACTATATATATATATATATATATTATATTTATGAAAAATAAAAATATTGATTGAGGGGGAAATGTCTATTTATTTTTGGTACCTACTGATTATATACGTGTACACGTGATAGACAGTCCTCAGATATACATATCATGTTATGCAGTAGCAGAACCGAAACGATAACGTGTAGGGTATATAATATTATTTTTATCGACGGATAATATTATACATGAGCATGTTCGGGATCAGAATCGAAAGGTTTGAACTCAACTTTTGATAGATCGCTTTCCTTGTACCATTGTTATAGGTTTGATAAAAAAACAATGTATGGGTTCTTTGTTTTTTATTATTTTTTTACAACATATAAATGGAACGTTTTTATTCCAAAAGAATATATATTTTTAAACAATTCTTGTAAATGTAGGGACAAAATAAATTGGTTACATAAAAAGCATATTTACAGTTTTTTTACATGAGTCACAAAAACCAATATCGTACATACACGATTAGAATAGTACAAAAATGAAACTATAAGACAAAATATTATTTCTGCAACTAAAAAATATATTTTTAGTAAAATATATTTAGGGCGGTGACAAACATGAGAAATTTGATTCACGAAACAGGAGTGTTATTTCGTTACTTAAAAACGCGTGTATTTAAATGGAGCAACACACACTGGTGTTTCCGAAATGTTATCTCAAAAATATTTTGTAAACAAGTTTCATATGTAATTGTTTCATCATTTCACTAGGTATCAACTCCCTCGCAGTTCACGACGTAATTATGTATGTACAAATATTATAATTTATAATTATTTATGGGGGGTAAACCACAAGCGGAAGTAGGTGTACAAATATTAGGAACTTTGAAAGTACATGAAAATTTGTGAGATCCATTCTATAGAATGATTTAAATTTGTCCGGATGTTGATTTAATTCGTTTGCAACAATAGTAGCACTATGTTCTAGATTAATTTGGTTCGCAGGATTCACCCAGTATCGTCTTTTTTTTTAATCGTATTCTTCTTTCGATTTAACCACCGCAGAAAAATAATGTCATCATCGGACGACATATTTAGACCGACTAAAATGAGGTGTACGAACTAAACGGTAGGTAGGTGTAAAAATATTCATGAAACAAATTTGTTCTATGTGTATTGACCATAAAATATGTTTCATGTGATGAATTGTATAAAACATATTTCACGAAACAAATTTCCCCAGTGTGTCACCTGCCTAAGTATACATTTGAATACACACAATCTGACATCCGTAAAACGTGGCTATTCTACCTGATGTAAAATAATTAAGTACCTAATGGAAAATATTTCAATCATCTTAAAGTCAGTCCCACTCAAACCGTTCTATACATTTTTTTTTTCAACATAAAAATAGGGATATTGTTTTATTCTTTACCGGTATATAGAACCATTTTCGACTCACAACACAAATTTTACAAATTATAAATCTGTGAAATGATAGCATAAGCTGATATGTACATTTTCTGAACTTAGTTTTACCGTTACATATATTTTCAAATAATGACAAATCAGTTTTAGTCTTAGCACATAAATGGCGCCACACACATAATAGAGACACATCATATTTTGCCACCACTTGAAACATACGATTTCTACACTATAGTTAAATGATAATTTAAAAATTAACAAAATGTACCCATCAGCTTTTACCATCTTTCCACAGAAATATTTAATATGATATGACTTCTGATCAGCAAATCTGTCAGGTGCAGCAGTGTCGACGAAATAATAAATTATAGTAAAAGTCATCGATTCAACTATTGATGTGCGTTTTGATTCAAAGTCAAATATAAGTATTTTTCACGTTTATACGAGTGAAATTATAGTGCCAGTGTCAATAAAAAAAAAAAATACGAAATCAACTCGGCGATGTAAGTGCTAATGGACTGCACCCTTTCACCGCGACAGATCCACCACCGACCCTCAAGAGCGGACGATAATCGTATTGTCATATATACAGTACGTATTATAATATTATACTCATATTGTGTACTATAAGTGGTTATGAATAATATAATATTTAATAATATAAAGCGCAACACGCTTTTTGTAAGCCTCTCGCCGCAGTACTATTACCGGTGATTTAACCCCACGAGCGCGCTCGAGCCCGGCCGCGAAATCGTTTCGCCCTCGGAATTTGCGGTTTGTCGGACACCGCGACCGCGGTGTATACCGTACGAAATATACGGTACAACCGGCATACACATTATTATTAATACAATCCGAGTGGGTGGGTGGGTGGGTGGGTGGTCTTCCGTATAATTAAACGCCGCTCGTCCGATGTCATACCGCGTGTCGTCGGCACCGCTTTGTTAATAAATTCTCGTACGAGAGGACCCACACGCGTGGAGGCAGCAGCAGCAGCAGCTGAGCCGCGCGATACGTCTTGCTTGCCCGTCCTTTGACTATATTATAGTCACACTCGGCCACGCGTTTTATTATATTTCTAAATTACCATAATAATAATAATAATAATATATTATGTAAACATCGTAGACCCGTAAAGATATGATAATAATAATAATAATATTTAATAACATTATAGTGCGCGTCTACTACAATCTACATAACGTATAATATTATAATTTCGTGATAATTAACACCAGTGTAGTGGGATATCAGTGCACAGCGACGTTTCCACAGGACTCTTCGTTTTTACGCAGTTACTCATTTTTTTTTTTTTGGTAACTTCGATATTGTTATCTCTTGATAGGTAGTCATAAATGTACATCGCCTGGTCAATAGCGTTCTCGCGTTAGCTTAATACATATTTTTTACACGCCTAATAAACTACTAACCTAGTACTACATTTGTTGGTGGTATGTTTCCTATAAGTATTACCGAATAGTAGAAAGTGATTTAAAAGTAATTTTAGTCGTAGGTATAAAATATTAAATTAGTTTTTTTTTTGTTTTAATCGATAACTACCTAACCTGCCCTTTGAACTTTCTAGTTTATACCAGGTGCCTCCACTAAATAAAAAAAATTAATAACAATCCCCGTGATGGCAACAACTTGATTATTTTGCTAAAATATTACGTCAATTATCCTACATTGAATTACATGAAGAGAATCAGCGTCTGGTACTGATCTTGCTAGTGTATAATATCACCATGGGCGAATAATATGACAAGAAGAAATATATACTCGTTTAAATATGTATACCTACCTATTTTATGTTGTCATATATTTTGATGGGTAAGTGTAGAGTCGTCACATTTCAAAAAATTGTACATTAAACATGTTACGACTTTGACATTTTTAGAATAATGACGCCATTTTAATGTTATTTAATAGTTTTTTTTTTCCTAAAAGTCATTATTAGGTCACTTTTGAAGAAAATAAATTATTCTACAATAGTGTGTAGTACACGCTTTAGATTCTGAGTGGAGCGAGGAAGCTAGTGGTTTTACAATGGTGTTTATTTTTTTTTATCCTGTATACAAAATGTCTACCATAAGTATTGCTTTGATTTCAACATATATTATCTTATCTTTTAGCAAATTGGATCAAGATGGTACCTACTTAAGAAAATTAATTTTTCGATTTTCTCAATAGTAATTTAATGCCACAGGAAAATCACCAATACATTGAGAAAAACCGGTAAGAAAAGAATTTTAATTTCTAACGCTTTGTTCATCACCATAGAAACGAATAAAAAATAATTTTATTATAATATCAATTTAACTTGCAGGCTATAATAAATAACAACAATACAAAATATCCAGACTGACAAACCATCTCCACTCAGAATCATTTTTCTTATACAATGATATTATATCATTGAATTCAAGTTTAATACAATCCATTATACATTGACCCACTTTTAACCTACTGTGCCTACAGAGGAGCGACCGCGACATCCGCTTTTTTTAAAATTCGAAATTGCTAAAATCTATTAGGTATAACAATTTATTATAATAATATACAGTAAACATTGATACCAACTTTAAATTTATGATTATATGTGTGTTATCTCCGCACTGATGTTATCAATTTCAAAATTAGTTTTACTTTAGATTTTCTCACTTCACGGTGATATTTATAAAATGTTTCCGTCGTCTGTTGTACACTTTTTACCATTTCAATTTCCACTAGTACTTATACTTGTAACATGATATAAAAAACCATCAACAAATATATATAAACCTACATTTTTCTACATTTTTTTAAAACAAAATGTGGAAGTAATGGGACTTATAAATTATAATCATTGTAATATTTTTTAACATGTCGTTACTGTATGTTCTTTTTTAGAATTATATAGCTACTACGTACTCATAATTTTAATATAACATATTGGGAAATGTAACTTTAATAAAATATCAATTAAAGAGAGTGCATTGGATTTTAATTTTACATATTCTTTAGACATTCGCAGTTCATATTCAATAAGACCCTCATCGGTCTTACTTTTAATTACTATTCCAATGCCAATGAGTTCCTTGTCCTAACTTTTCAACTACATAATATAGAGAAGTTTTTGTCTATTAATTATTACTTCTCATTTAAGTTATTA